GGTGTGGGTCCTTTAAATCCTTTTAGTGCATTCTTTCTCGTGGTACCTCGAGTGTAAGTGCTTTTTGAATTTCTCGTCGTCATCTCATGTGAGATGACTCCGAGAACTTTAAAAATCACTTGACGCTCGAGGTACCACTAGATCTAATGCACTAAAACTGAATCTGTTAAAGTTCTCGGTGCATCTCGCCTGATAGGCACCCGAGAAATTTATCACATAAAAGCCACAACATGAGAATTTCTCGGGGTTGATGGGATGTGAATCCTGGAGCGAAAGCGGATCTTCGTTCATGGTTTTTTGAGAAAACAAAACAAAAGTGCAAAGAAGAAAAATACAGGGGAAACTTACGTTTGAATAACTTTTCTTCAAAGATTTCCACCCGAACACCACCACCGAATCTTCCTTACTATCCTCTTGGGTCTCGAGATCATGCTTGTGGGAGCACCGTTTGGAATCTTAGGGAGAATTTTTGAGAGAGATTGAGTGATTTTTCTTGAGAGAATTCCTGGGCGTTCTTGTTCTCTTTTTTTCTACAGCAGAACCATTCTGCAAAATAGAACACATATGACGTGGGGTTAACTCCCCACGTCATAACTAGCCCCCACTCCCCTGCAAATTAAGCAGGGGAGTGTTAATATTAATATTAATATTAATAATTAATATATATATATATCAAATAATTAACACTTAATTATTTATCACATAAATAGAATCATATTCTATAGCATTTCTCTCGTATACCCTATAGTTCTAATTTACATCTTATGCACTTTATTTTTAGCCTATAGTTTTAATATGAGTCTTATTCATATTAATTTTATTTGAATCTCATTCAAATAATTTCTCTCATAATATATAGTCTTAATTTAGAATTGACTATATATTATAATGTATCAATATACATATAATCCCTTAAGTAATTTGAACAGTTCAAATTCTTCCAAAAATTTGATCCTCGTTTTACCCGTTATGAGCTAGTAAGGGGACCTAATGGACCTACAGATCAGAAGCTCCAACGATACGAGATTAATCGGTCAAACTCATTGATCGAGTTAATCAACATTCGTTAACTACAGGTCACTCCACTAAAGACCCGCAGTTGCACTCTTCTCACTGCAGAATGTTTTCGTGTCCATGGACATACGACCATTAATGACAAGTCAATCCTTCATGAGTGCTCGTAACTCAAGTTGGGTCAAATTACCGTTTTACCCCTGAGTTACATCTTACTCCTTAAATACCACTGCTCCTCTAATGAACAATCTGGTTATGGTCCGATCAATAACCGGAAGTCCCTATCGGGCCAATGAGAGGGTGGGGCCCCTTGTTTAAGTCCCGAAGTCAGCATTTAAGAAAACACTCATCTACTCCCCTAACATCGGGGAGGAGTGAATTCCATCTTGTGAAGTTATGTTCCCAACTCCCCACTCGGTCTCGTCCCAAAAATGGTAGGAATATTGAGTCGACAACTCGGGCCACTTTCACCCATACAGATCAAAGGACGAGCCCTCACGGGCAGAAGTCTATAACTCACTCAGGATTGAGAATGAGTTGTTTGGTCATCTTATGAAATAGCAATCTGTTAGTCAGTGGCGTTATATTTAAAGATTACACAATCGATATCCGGTCCTCATTGTATAGGATACCCCTACTCGCATGTCTCCACACGAACGACCTAGATCGAGTCGTCTGTAACATTTACAAAGTGGGCCGTATCCATAGTGTTGCCAGGATAAGGTACCTAACCCTATCCATATACTATAGACCCTTCATGTTATTCACGAGACATTATCCACTCGTATATCAGGAGTATATCAAATATATACCTCGTATATCAGGGGTATATCAAATATATACCTAGTATATATACTGTCTCGTTTACATTAAAATAACCTTGGATGTTTAGTTTATTGGATTTTAGACAATGCAATGCTATGAATTCAACAACAAATTTATTGAATAAAACTTTGTTGAATATACATTTATTTTTAATAAATACAAACTACGAATTTAGGGCAACACACCCAACAAGGGTGCCTCGAGCAAAGTTCTTCCTTCGATATGCATTTCTCGCTTACATCTCGTACGAGATTCCCCGAGAAATTTTACAGAGACACACAAACCCATTAAATCCCTAACCTACTTCGCCCGAAAGTTAAACCCATGCCAAAAATTCAAATCCCTAACCAGTTTCGCCCAAAATCTCCTTGAAATTTTTTAGAGATCTTAAAAACCCGCGCAACCAAATTCAAATTCGTATCCAATTTCGCCCGAAATCGAAAACGACGTTCACCACCTGAAAACAAATTCACGCCTTACATCGTGCATTTCTTAAACCCTAAATCCTACTTCTCATTTTTACCCAAACAAGTTCATCAACCAAGGCAGAGTACAACCACATAAATCCCTAACTAAAAGTGTAAAATCAGGGAAAATTGTTACATCGATTTCGTGAGACAAGAAAAGCCAAGGTTGAAGGGAACAGAACTGGGTTGGAGCGAACGTAAGCGAAACGAAAGGAAACGAGATTTTGAAGTTGAAGCGTACGAAGGAAGGAGAAGAGAAAGAGTGGGAACGTTGGTTTTTTTATTTCAGGGGCATAAATGTAATTTTACTTATTATTAAATTCATTAAAATAATATGATAGGTTATTTAAAACAATTTTGAAGGTGGGTTATTTGAGCAAATTCAAAACTCAAGTAGGTTATTTGAGTCAATTTCCCAGGTGGGAGCTAAGGCAAGGGGAAGAAGAAGAGAAGATAAGAGAAAAAGACATTAGGGTTTGTTTTGTTTTATTTTTCTTTCCCTTTTTCTTTTCTTTTTACCAAAAGAATAATAAATCCAAAATAAACCAAAATCATAAAACAAAATAAGGTTTATGATTTTATAAATAAAGGGATTTTTCTAAATCCTTTTCTAAAAAGAAAATCCATTGTAAAAAGGTTTTGGAAAATATTTAAAAGATTCATTTATATTTAAAAATAATGTAAAAGGGAAAAATTAAATTTCCAAAACTTTGAATTAAGATTTAAATAAAATCTATTTCCAAAATTCGAAAACTTTATTTATCTTAAACTTATGAAATTAAATTTTAATTCTAATTTATCCAAAATTACAACTTTAAAATTAGAAAATCCAAAAACTTAATTTATCCAAATAAGGAGAAATATAAAGATTCAATTTAAAACTTGAAATAAAAATAACCCGAAAATCAGGACGTTACAAATTCCTATAACACCATCACCTTTAAATCCAAAAATTTAGCTGATAAGTTATTAGTAAAACATACCATGAAGACAATTTAAAAAAAAATATATATATCAATTTGAGTATAACTCAGGTACATGTCCTGACCAAAAGGTCATGGATTCAAACTCCACCTCATATAATTTTTTTTATAAGGGAAAAGAATTAAAATATTAGACACTAGAATATATATTTAACCTAAAATAAAAAAACCAACGCTGAGAATACAATAAAACTTGTTTTTTCTTGGATTTAGGGATTGCTAGGGCTAAGTTTGTAATTTAACTTGCGGCCTCCCCCTTCTCGAGCGACGGCTTGGTCCTCCTGCAAAAACCAGCTTTTATGCAAGTGTTTCTTTATTCAACAAGTTCTCGAAGGACGTTCAAATGCATGTGAATTGTTTCCCGTTCCGTACATAATTTATTAATGCAGCATCAACATGAATTCGATTAAAGGAAGATTCTTGAAGAGATGGTTTTATTGATGTAATGTCTCAGTATATGCAGCATGGCCAAGTTAAATAGAGCTCAAGTATCGGCCAGCTCATCAGAAGCTCAAATCAAACACTAAACCAATGAAACTAACTGGTTTTTTTTAAACCTAGTCCTTAGTGGTATTATCCTTTTTTTTTAATGTTTCATATCTTCAACGAAATATCCGCAAAAGTGAAAAATTGTTGAGACACCAGCACCAAGCTCTGTCATAGTGGTGGCAAGGTTGTTAAATCGTGAATCACTTGTTAGCGTGAAGTACATACCCTTGTAGACAGCCATTCTCATCAAAGTTTGGAGGCGTTGAGTTATGTACCCAAAAGCTTTACCCTTGTAGGCAACGCGATAGGCAAGACGTGGATGCGTGCGGCATGTTGGTTCGAATGGAGCTATAAGAATGAGTTAGGGCATGCGATTAGGGAAGAATGGAGCTAAAAGAAAATGAAATTAGAGACAAGGAGACATTTTGCGTCTCCCAAATGTACCTACCCCTTCCATAATTGTCACGGTATTAATTATCCTTTCTTCCAATGTAGGTACCTCATCCATAATTTTAAAAACAATATTTTTGGCTTTTCAATTTTTTTACTCAATTTCTACTTTTCTGCATTGATTTTACGTTTTGTTAGGACATTTTTCATATTTTTCTCCCTCTTAATATATATATATATTTTTATTTCAAAGTATTCATTTAACAGATTTCACGTTTTTAGAAATTTAGGAATCTCTAACTCTAGATTTTATTTTTGAATTTCTAAACTTTAAGATTTTGATTCACTATTTTATTTACTAATATTAAGGTGTAGCAAAGATTTATTTCAAGGGTATTTTTGTCACAAAATTTCAAGGGTAATGGTGGAATAATTTTAGCTATTTTTGATGGAATAATATATTTGTCCACATTAAATGTTAGTGTTTAACCCTAACAACAACGTGTTAGTCATGATATTGGATTCTTTTAGCTATTTTTCAAGTCCACCAAAGGCATCCTTCTTTTTATCTTTTACTACCTTCAATAACTACTTGAGGATCTTTTACTACCATCTTTGAAATGAAAATCGACACGCATGCAGGGGGAAAGTCATTCATTCTACCCTACATGGGAGCAAATTCACAATATTACTTTGTATTTCTAATATTATGAAAAATATATTATATAAAAATATGAAACCTTCTAGAGAATTGAACCTTTGGTATTTACTTTCCTCTCATCTTAATTCCTTTTTCTAGTATAACAATAGTGATGTTGGAACCCTTTATTTCTATAACTATTTTTGTAAAAAAATCAGCAATTCTTTTCCAAAATTCACATTGAAGCCCCGCCCCACCCCAACGCCCGAACGGTTCTCTGCTTCTCAAGCCCTATTGTCGCTCGCGCTACGCCGCCACAGCCGGTCGTTCCCATCGCCGCCGCCCGCGCTCTAATCACATATTCTCGCCCCCTCAGCCCTAATATCAAGTAAGTTTTTACTTTGTTCAGTTGCTTTTGTTTCTCTCGTCTTCGAATTTGCACCTAAATCCATACTTGTACGCGTGTTTGCGTTTAGCCAGTTATTCAGTACTGATTCTCAACGAGTGGCTTGAATCGTTTGAATTTCAGAAAAAGTATTTTGAAACTCCGGAAAATCAATCAGAGGCTAGAGAGTTCATTGTTCTTCCCCTGAGCGGTAATGTCAGCTTCTCTGTACTCTACCATTCAGTTTGATTGCTCTTGCATTGTTTCTCACTATTTCAATGACATACCCATTAGTAATTCCATAATCTTCACTGTTTCTCCCTGCCTGCTGTATATGTTTGGGTACTTCTCTGTAATTTACTGGGTGTTTAATTTTTCTCCCCATCGCATGAAGGAGTTAACTAATTCTCAATCATTTACCCCAGAGAAGACTTGTGAGTTTGTTAGAAGTAAAGTAAATTTAAAGCATACTTGCTGGGGTCGAGTGTACTTGAGTAAAGGCTATGCGATAGTACTCCAACTAATGTGAACTTGTCTAGCTTTTTAATGCTAAAAAATTCTTATTTTTTTGATTCGGGACCACGAGAGTCTAAAAAGTGAGGATGGTTAACTTAAGTTGCTAGGTATAATAGGAGATTGCCCTCAAGGGGCAGCCCAGTTGGCAAGGGCTTGGGGTCTATTGGTCATACTGGCTTAAAGGTCTTAGGTTCGAACCTTTTAGCGAGCTTAATACCAAAAACCGTTGATGTCTCTCGGGTTTGGGTCTTGGGGCGGGCGCGGGTGCCCCTGGGTATAGGGGAGTAAAGCTCCGACTCACGCTTTATTTTTTTTAAAAAAGATATAACAGGAGATCGAGACAAGTAGAAGAGAGAAAGTTGAATTTCGTTCTATATGCGAATGTTGCTGAGGTGAAGAATTCTTTGGTGTACATGTGTCTCTCGAGAATGAACAGCTACAATTAAGTAAACTAGATATAGTGTTCTTCTGCAACTGCAAGATCTCAAAAATGATTTCCATATTTTAATTATTGGCATTTTTCTTTTAAAATTTGCTTGCTTCTTACAGCTCTGGGTCGTTCCCCTTTGCACTTTTGGTTTATGTCTAAGCCCAGTGCATTTTGATGTTTGTTAATTCAACTTTCATATTTTATTTTAAAGTTATCACAGAAAAATTTGATGTAATTTTATCATTGTGGGCAGTACAAAAATTACTATAGCTGTTGTACTTTTACATAGGGGGTTGTTCCGGTTGTTCGGTTTTCTATCTTTCTGGTTTCATATTGCTTGTGTACTAGAATTGTATGGAGATAACTAACTTTCGTTGTTGGATGGAAATAATAAGATATGCCTTTTATGATACGTAAATGGAAGTTGTATGGGCTTCTATTGAGCTTCAATGAAGGACATTACTGTAGATAGAGTTATATTTTGAAGAAGAGGGCTACTTCCTTAATACATGTTCGAGTTAAGCTGAAAAGATTGTGATTATTTGACAAAACTTAGACTTAGAGACTTAGAGTTCATAATGTGATTTATGAAGTGGACTGAGAGCATGATGTTAACATACTTAGGTAGTGTCACTGAATGAAGGACTTAATGAAAAACCATTGGTTTGGGTTTCTCATCCCCTTTTGTATATCTCTCATTTCATTGCATTAATGAAATCGTATCTTCTCCAAAAAAAAAAAAATATATATTCGTTATATATATAAGAGTGAATAAGAGATAAGGTAGTTCGATTCATTCACATCATCAAAAAACATAGTGTCCCTACCCTAATCTTGATGAACATCCTCCAAAATTTCAAGAAAGTAGCATGCTCTATCCTATACCTATCCTAATCACAATTTTGATTCAGTCCCTACCCTATTCACAATTTCGATTCCGAGCATCAAAAACGTAGAAAAGTTGAAACTAAAAACAAATGCAGAAAAATGGCAGAAAACAAGTAATTTGAATCGAATCCTCTCCTGAACAGACACATCACGGATCATGGTTTAATTTCTAAAAGCTTCCAATGGAAAAAAAACATCTATGGTGGCATGTCCCACCTGAAAAGCTGTGACTGAGGAGAGGGATAATAGAAGAGAGTTGCTAAGGTAGAGTTTGGCTTCCAAATAAAAGATCTATCTTTCATTATTATTTATTGTATTCTTCTTCTGGCTGGTTACTAAAAATAGTATTAGAATTTAGAGGTTGGAGTAGCTTTACCTTACTCTTATTTAATTTGAGAATTTGTGATTTAGAGAATTTTTGCATTCATATGATACCAATTTATTAGATTATGATAAAAAGTTGTTTTTTTCTAAAGAAAAGTTTATGTGCAGGGTTGCAGAGATTGAATCTTGATGGCTGGTAGAAAGTTAGTTCGGGATCTGTTTCTCTCTAGACAAAGCATTTTTTATCAGCTTACCTCCCATGGGGTTGGGTTTCTCTCCTATGATTTAATCTTAAACCATCTTTCTTCACTGTAGTCTTTAGAGGATGAATTTTATGGTGTTAAGTTAGTCAATATCAAGTTTGTTTTGATATATGGGTTTGGATTTGTTGTGGTAGAGCTCCTGTACAAGATCCCAATTGCTCTTACCAAATGGTTACTCCATCAATCGTAGATTCAGTGTATTCAATGAGTTCTCAAAGAAAGTGAAAGGCGAAGCAAACAAGTATCTTCCGTCTCCTTTATAACTACATGCATGTATATGTGTTTTAGCTTTTATGCAAGTGTTTCTTTATTCAACAAGTTCTCGAAGGAAGTTCGAATGCATGTGAATTGTTTCCCATTCCGTACATAATTTATTAATGCTGCATCAGCATGAATTCGATTAAAGGAAGATTCTTGATGAGATGGTTTTATTGATGTAATGTCTCAGTATATGCAGTATGGCCAAGTTAAATAGAGCTCAAGTATTGGCCAGCTCATCAGAAGCTAAAATCAAGCACTAAACCAATGAAACTAACTGTTTTTTTTTAAACCCAGTCCTTAGTGGTATTATCCATTTTTTTTTTATATTTCATATCTTCAATGAAATATCCGTTTCTCAAAAGTAAAAAATTGTTGAGAGACTAATACCAAGCTCTGTCATAGTGGTGGATGTAATGTGGATTAGATGCATCATCAATGATGTAACAACTCAAAAGTATCACAGAAGAATGCAATTGAAATTGTTCATGAGATTTCATGCCATATGGACTTAGATCAAGAAAAGAAAATGTTAGGCAATGTATTACTGGAAAAATAGGGATGAAGGGCCAAAATCAAGCAATGGTATTGATGTTTTTATCAATATACAGTACACCCAGTTATTATAGATCTTAAGTATTCTGCCAGCTCATCTAGCTAAAACCAAGCAGCTAAAACTAAGCACCTAAACTAACCACTCATTTAGTTGAACAAAAGTATTTTGCTCTTCTGACAGCATGAAACTGTTTTCTAACATTTCTTTTTTAATAATGGTTGACTATTATAGTATTACAAACAAGATGTATGACTTCTTAGCTTCTAGTTGCTTCCTCTATTGCGTGTTTGTTCTTCATAGTTATTACGTGTGGTATTAGTCCTTTTATTAGTGTTCTGGTAAACATTGCAGAAACCCAGAATTTCAACAATCTGTCAAAGAGTGGAAGGAGAAGGCAGAAGAACTTAAAGGTGCGAAAGAAGACATAAAAGTTAGGTAATCTTTTGAGAACTTTGTTACTCGGTCTTGCATAGTTTTAGTGGTATTTATAACAGGCTGAGACATACCCTTGTATGTCAAGGCTGTGTGGGCACTTCAATGGATGGCCTGAGACGGTGAAATGGCGAATGCAGAACAAAGCAGACAACTGAGCAGCTTTACAAGCAGGTGGATGGCATGTGGTCCGATGCTGAGGCTACAGCTAGAAAGGTGTAAATTTTTTTCTTCTCTTCCAATTTATGTGCTAACTGCTACCCATGTTTATAATTGTTGTGACTACCATTTATCAGTGACTGGTGATTATTTTAAATAGTTTGTACAGCATGCTGGGGTAATGACATTTCCTCTCTCTCTCTCTCCCTAATTTTACAATGTTATCTAGTCACTTTATCTTTTTGGTTATGGGCGATTGTTGTTTGGGCCTTTCAGTTTTATTTCCTAATGTATGGTGGGAAAAAGTCTGTTCTTTTCTTGAGTATATTGAATATTATGATGTCTTTGGCAGTCGTTCCTGATATTTATTTATTTGAGACTATTATTCGATATTAAAGGAAGTTATCTTTCATGGAACCAAACACCATTTTGATTTTAATTTTTTCAGGTTTCTGCCGATGTCAAAGAGAAAATATCAGCTGCTACAGAAGAGGTTTGTGTGTTTTATGTGATAATTGATATATCAATTAAGCATATATAATCATACCCATGGAATTAATATTTCCTCACTATTGGACTCAGGTGAAAGACGCTTTTGGATTCGGTCAAAAAAAATCTTCAGGATCTACTTGTACCTCAACTGATCATGGTGCTGATGCAAAAAAGGATGGAAGTGAGGCCACTTCTGAAGAAGGCAGACATCAGCATCCTGGTTCTAGGGACACCTCGGAAACGGTATTTGGAAAATTTAAGTCCAGCATTCCTTCACCAGGTATCTCTGCATTCGAAAGGTTGAAAAAAGCAAAGTTAATTGACTTAACAAAGAAGGGCTATGAAATTGTAAAGGATGAGTTAAGTGGAAAGCCACATAAGAAAAAACATTTGGAGTATGAGCCTTCAGCCTCGCCAAAAGTTGAAAGAAGTACCAGAACCGATGTTGTTGTTTTGCCATCAAAACAGTCTCGATGGAGTAAGAAGTGGGAGGCATTCAAGGAGAAGGTAAATGACGCTAGTTGCCAATGTCTTGTGGAGTATCATTAGAGCTTCTATTAAAGTGCCATTTGCTTTTAGATCAAATCAGTAATTTTCCCTTTTTTCCTTCCTTTAGATGCAAGGTCATACCATATTCAAGCGGGTTACTGGTTATGGTGAACCCGTAGTGTCAAAGGGTCAGGAGGTATGTATTTCGACTAATACTATTTTCTTCAGTAAAACTCAGCATCTGATCCCAAGTTTCATTTAATGTGCTCTACTGCTGGAGAGAGGGTTATGCATCCCTGAACATGTCATAACATTACTGACTTGTGGGTTGAGACCAAGTCTATGGAATTGAATATAGATGTTTTTTTGAAAATCAATTAGTTGATAGTTGAATTTGTATAACGGTTTAAAATTAATTTTGAAACATTGGCTTGCTTGCTTCCATTTTTGTGTGTGCATGTGCTGTGTAGGAAAATTATGGAGGTCGTTTATGGACATTTAATATCAAAATCCATTATTTGTTAATATAATACATTGTTGTGGTATGGTTCTCACTTTGGGTGTGAGAGATATGAGTTCAATTCTCGGAATGCCCCTTTTTCTCCTAAATCATTTCCAACATTTATTTAATATATTGTTGTTAAGCTTAGATACCAATACAAATTTCACTAATATCTTGATATTTTTAATCAGGGAAAATTACACAAATTAACCACCCTGAACTGTATGATTGTAACAATTATACCCTCAAATTTTTATTTGACTAGTTGCCTATCAAATTTAAAAAATGGTGAAAATTGGACCTAACTGTTACGTATCGTTGGAGTTTTGTTAAACTCATCTCTATCTCTCATTCTAAAAGAATTGCTCTACCATATTGGGATGGAAAATTTCTTGTGGGATCTGTCCTGAGGTAGAACCCCCGAACATGGTTGGAATCCCTCTGAAATGATTTTTGAAGTCGGGGGAGGTGTTTTTAAAAAATATATTATATATAGTGAGGTTGGGAACAGGGACATAGTGATAGAATACACAATAATTAACAAAACCGAGAACTTTGGGCTAGAATTGCATCATGGTCGGGGATGGGGGAATTGAATCTAGGAAAAAAACAAATTTGGAAGAGAGATTTATCTGAAACTAAAATTACTTTATGGTTGGTTGGGTCAAATTTTAACATTTTTCTGAGTTTGACATTTTAATTCAGTGGCAGCTGAAAGCTTATGTTTTTACTCTTCTTTAATGTTTAATATGTAATAATATTTTCTTATATTGTAATTGGCAGATAGCTGAGGATATTCGTGAAAGATGGGAGACAAGTGATAACCCTATTGTTCAAAAAATTCAGGAGTAAGTATTCATCCTATCACATTTGTTTGATGAATGGAGAATCTCGAGTCCTCTGTCATCTGTGTTTATTCAATTTGGCCTTTCAACGTGAAAGGCCAAATTCTTTGGTTTGCTTGTCCTTATTCATTTTTGTGAGGCATTTGGTTGGGGATGTGTTAGAACCCGAAATATATTACAAGATAAAAAGATAAACGAACTACAATAGCTATCAAGTTCAAGTATCCTCTTGAGATATCACTCCAGTCAAAACCATACTCACTCATTGGATACCTTCATCCTTATACCCACCCTCTATTTATAACACTCTCCCTGACTACTTTCCTATCTAATTACTAAGTTACCCTCAATACCCTAATAATATCCCTTTATTACCCTAGTGACCAATCCCGCCCCTTAAAACATACCTTGTCCTCAAGGTGTGGCTAAACAAAAACTTTTTTATATTTTTTTTATTTTTAATAACCCGCACAAGAATTTGAAACCTAGCCTTGCAAACTCAAATTGAATCAGCTGCTGTGGTGGGGTAGTCATAGGACGTCAGTGGAAGGTAGCAGCATGCACAAAATGGTGTGGCTGTTACTTGGTGCAGGCGATGGTTGATGATCGGTGATGGGTAGCGGTCAGCAACGATAGCCGCCGAGGCGGGCGATGGAAAGCGATGGCCGAAGGTCGGTGACGGACAATGGTGGTCGTCGGTTGACGACGATCTGTTCTGGACCTTGGTTGACGACGGTAGTGTCGAAGATGCGAGCTGGGAAGGAGGAAACCACTTCGCAAGATGCTAGTGGCGGCCTGGTAATGACGGCGGCGTCGTGCAGGCGGCGTGTATACAGACAGGAGGAGCGTCGCGGCTAGGGTTTCTCTGCACGTGGGTAGGGGATGCCCACTTAGGTCAGTTTTTGGGTTAGACCTAGAGGACAACCTGGCCCAAGACCCATACATCAAAACATTCACTATTTTTGTTACTTTTCCAAAACCTTCTCCCTTAATGTGACCATTAGGGTTCCTTCTCCTTCCTTTCTTTTGTGACCCACCCTTAATGGCCTCCACCAAGTCTCCTTCTCCGACCACATCTGCCATGGTCGCCGGCGATGGCCTCTGTCGGCCATTTTTCTCGCTTTTCCTTTTTTTCATGATTATTCACCTTCTAATGAGCTTTGCGGTTGTTGATGCTCCATCTTCTACAACGTCTTCGACTCTTTTGAGCCTTCAACTTTCGCCATAAAATTGATAATGGCCCTTGGTTTTTCTGAACTCTAGCCTTCCCAATCTTCTCGCGCCTGATCTCCGAATTCCGGTAGCCTTCGACGAGTTCAATCATTGAGGGAACATATGAAGTTTCGAGCACAAATCGATGTGTTCTTTCCCTTCTAATTTGATTTTCCTTTGGTTGTTCCAACCTTGCTTCCCCGTGAACAGATTTTTGCTTGCTCTCAAACTTTTCTTCTCTAATCATCGTCTTCTCATCTCTATATGGTCGTGTCATCTTCCCTGATATAATCCCTTCCTCTGTTTTCTCTAGTATCTCCTTGTTTTCCTTACGAAGCAAGGATCGGATCACCATACTTTCTTGTTCCATCTTATCGGTCATGGATTGGATCCTCAAGTCCATCCATTCCATCATCTTCTCCATCAATTGAAGAACCTCTTCAGGTGTAGAGTTCATGGCCAGAAACGAACTGCTCTGATACCACTGTTAGAACCCGAAATATGTTGAAAGATAAAAGATAAACGAACTACAATAGCTACCAAGTATTAGAGGTACTTGGACCCTCCCCTCTTGAGATATCACTCAAGCCAAAACCAGTGATTTCGAGGCGCACCCGGGCGCTCGCCTTAGGCGAGAGGCGAGGCGATTTCGCCAGGTGCGCCTTGCAAGGTGCCCGGGCGCTCGCCTTGGCGCGCCTCGACACGCCTTTGAGCACCTCTCGCCTGAGGCAAGGCGATCGCCTTGTTGAGGGCGGGCGCACAAATAGCCCATCTCAAATGAAAAACCCTAAAAATTATCCAAATTCTCCTTGACAACTTCTTCTTCTTTGTTTTTGTTTTCCTTCTTTGTCTTTGTTGGCAACTATTTGCCTCCGTCGATCATCGAAATTAAAAAGAAAAAACATTAGGATGGAAGAAGAATGAAGAGTCGAAGAAAGAAGAATGAAAAGTAGAGTAGAAGAGTGAAAGGAAGAAGA